TTCCAGCTACAGGTGCAGATCCTAAGCCACAGAGCCACCACATTGGAGTGCAGTATTATGGTCTAAACCAGGCATGAAGAGGCTTACTGGGATTAATTAATAATGTTAATTCCTTGAATTTTACATATAGAAGAGCCCATTCCATTCACCTGGATGACATGAGGCAGCCAGTATGAGTTGTTTTCAGAATGCAGTGATGTTCCAAACAAAATCAAACAAAGTACACTTGAGAATGTGGTAACAACTTTGCAGAGAATTAAAAAGAACCTTCCAGTTCCTTGTGCAAGCTCCTTCCATTAACTTTGTGTTTACACAATTTAAACATTTACCACGCATTACACACAACTATCTATAGAAATAGAAAGAGAAAAAGACTCAGTAAATTAATCTAGTAAAGCTGAGTAAAACTACAGTACAGTATATTACATATTAAGTGATGTAGTGAAAATTAGTTTAAATTTTTAACTATTAGGACATATATAGTGTAGAATTGTAATAAACCATCTAGAGCTAGACTATTCAGTGCTTTAAAAATTGACCAGGAGAACGTTGAGGTTCTTATGTGGGTAAACAGTGCAATCTTTCCAGAGTCTACGAGTTTTGATGGATTTGTCTGACAGTAAGATAAAGATTGTATTTGAAGGACCTGCACTTTGTATGGTAACCTTGAAACAAAGGTGCAACCTTTTTGTACTGCAGGTATATACCAGAATTACACAACTCTGCAGCTCCTTGATGTCCAGTAAATATGACAAACAATTTAAAAACAAAGGGGTCTTTTGTCTGTCATGGAAAATGAAAAATGCTCACTTTTTACAAAAATGTTATTGCACTGCATATCCTTGTATTGTTCTTGTTGTTAGGATGAAGGGGCTGCACAGCAATATTTGTCTGATAATGATAAAACATACCAGTACTTACACCAACTGATTAGTCAAATACTTACTAATTAGTAAGGGATATGCTCATTGTTTTGTGTAAATACTGCCAGTCATTATCCTGAATAATATTTTATTTTTTTCCATCATGAAATGCTATCTGCTGTGTAGACACATAAAATGCAGATATGTTAAAGGGAGAAAGTACAGAATTGTACTGAAAAATGTATTATATCCAACAACAGTCCAATAACTTCTCAGTGCTTTAAATGGAAACATATTTTTTCAGAATGATGTGCACTCTTTGCAGTGTACCACAGATATTATATGAAGAGATGTTGCATTTATACCTTTTCCCACATTTAAGTCCCTGTTAAATTATTAATGTACGAATACACTGGATGAAACACAATACTTTCCGAGTGAGTGGTGACATTATTGATATTACTAGAAATAAGCTTTATGTACAGTGTTGGATAGTATTTATACTATATTATATGTTATAATATATTATAACTGATACTTGAATTCTTCTTCTTCTTATTATTATTATGTCTTGAAACAGTGACCAAATCATTTGTAATGATAAATGTAGGTCCCCAAAATGTATGACAATTATAAACGTGTCATTTTATTCTGTAAGTCTACATTTCTGTGCCTGAAGTATATTATCATTTTTTTACTATATTTAAGTGTTATTATAGCTTTTATAGCTTAAATTCAGTTTACGAAAACATTGTTTCAGTTACAGTTTTTGCCCAGAACATGTGTTATAAAATTGATTGTAGTAGTCAGTCCACCATCCTAAAAATGGCATAATCCCAACTGGATCCCTATAGGAAGGAGTGGACTTGTAGCACAAATGTAGAATGGAAATGTAGAAGAATGATACAAGTCCATGTGAACAACATGTGTACAAAATAAATAAAACTGTAACATTTAAAAGATATCCTGTATTAAGATGTGTTTACGAAAACAATTTGCATATGAGCATGGAAACTACACTGTTTCTCTTATGAACAACAACCATTAGCATTATGTTTTTAAAACAACGTGTAAAAAAGTATTTGTTGATTTTAGTAGAAAGTTTGCCTTTCCTCTTTTTATTGTATTTTTTGCTTTGTTATAGGAGATAATACTTGTTTAGTGCTTTATTTACAGTATAGCTGTGTTGGAACCCCTGTATAATCTGATTATTGTTTAGGCACAACAAATTTTGAATTTTCGAACTTTCCTAACAATATTGCTGAACTGTTTCAGAAAAAAAAAGATGCATAAGAAACGTACAGCTCACGAACATGTTTTTTTTTAGAAATTGTTTTATTTTTAGCAGTAAAATCCTACACTCTCTGCAGCACCATACACACTGAAGCACCTAACTGTCATTATTTTCTTTTGTGATGGTATAACTGCCACTCATCACTAAAGAACACATACTGTATCCACCCCTGTAGCCTACAATAGCAAGACATTATCACCCATTCCAGGAAGAATGTGTTTGAAGCTAGCAAACAATAAAACACATTGTATAGTTGAAAGGTACAGTAAGTAAAGAAAGGTGATGGACTTACATGTAAAGTTGCCAGTAGTTTTACCTGTGCTCCACTACAAAACTCATGGTAGTTCCATCAAAGGAAGGCGGGGCAATAATTCTTGGACCTTGCTGTGATGTGATGCTGATGACAGGCTTTCCTTCAGAGAATCCCTTGGATCCCCTTGTAGTTAAATGCTGGGAAATAGGCAGTGCTTGAGCGGATTTCCCAGTGGGGATGTAGTAAGGACTTTCCATATAAGCCACATCGCCCTGTTGCCCCATGTGTAGCGTTTCTTTGCTGTTTGACTTCTCTTGTTCTTCAGCATCTGAATGCGATGAAAGCTGGGTCTGTAATGTCCTGGTGGGCAACACAGTAGTGGTTGGCAGAAAACCAGGGTATATCATGTATGTAGGACCGTACGCACCAGGACTGAGTGCTAAAGGTGACACTGGGACAGGAACAGGGGTTATCGGTTGCTGAGGCATTGGGACATCCACATACTGTCCAGTTTCTGGATCAAAGAGTCTCTTTGTAGTCGGCTGAACAGGGGTGTCCACAAGGTAATAGTGTCCGGTAGTTGGGTCAAGCAGCATCTTCCTTTGTGTTTGTTGAAAGTGATCCACTGCTGGTGCGTGTGGTGGTGGTGGTACTGACGGTGAGAAGCAGATGACCTGGGGCTGTGGACCAGACATTGCAATGGGTAGGGAGTGATGGTAGATGGTAGCAGTAGGGGTATCTGGGGACCGTGTCTCCATAACAACAGAAGATCTTTTCGGTGACTGACTGCTGTCTTCCAGTCTTTTCGGGTCCCGTTGACCGGGGTGACCCAGCGGGCTGACGGTTGGAGCTTTTCTGCCCGTGGCTGTGAAGGTGTACACAGCAGGTACCTCTCGGCTGGTTGTAGCTGCGGGCTTGGCATCGCTGGGGTGAGACTTCACGGGTATCGTTAGGTAATTCTCTGATTCTGCTGTGGTTGTGGTGGTAGGCTGCAGTGGGAAAGCTTTTTCTGTTTCGATGCTGGTAGGTTTCTCCTTTTCTTCAGTAGCAGGCTTGGCCTGAGATATTTTTAATGACAGTGGGACTTTAGGACATTTGGGACCAAAGGTTTTTGTGCTGAATGGTACTTGTGATAGAGTATATGGCTGCGATACTTTATGACCGGCACTAGCTGTGATAGCAGGTGCTTTCTGGCTGTTGCTGAAGGTGAAAACATTTTTGTTACTGATGGCACCACTTGACAGAGGCTGGGATTTAGACACATCCTTGTCCTCTCCAATAAGAGGGATATGGAACATTTTAAGGCTCTCTTTCACTTCTTTTTTCGGTGAAGCATTGAACGGTGACCCACCGAATAGTCTAGGGGATGATTTGTCCGTGTTTGGGTAAGAGTTTCTTCTGACAAGACGCTCAGCATTACTTGCTCGTACTTGGGCAGCTATACCCCCGCTCTCTTCTTCATATTCGTTTGGTGGTCTTCCTGTGCCTTGCTCTTCGCTGGCAATAAGTGACAAGACGTGACTGTCTGTAATTGGCCTAGGCTCAGTTTTGCGTTTCCACTCGTTCCGATCAAAAACGTACAGCTGCTCCATGGTCTTAACGGCAGCTTTCAGTTTCTCCAAGGCGACTTGGTTTGCCATCTTTGATTCTGGTTTCCTGTCAGGCGTTTCGTTTATTTTCTCCTGTTTCCGTTTAGCTGCTCTGGTTTCAATTTTCACCCCAGAAGGCACCTCGAATGAATCGCTCTTAGTGGGTTGTTTTGCCGTAGTCGCTAAGGGAACTCTGCCTGTTGTCCTATGGACCATTAAGGTTCCGTTTGTGGCACCCTCTGCAGGTGGTTGAGGAGACGATCTGTCAGCTAGATTCCCAGGTTGCTTCACATTACTATTGGTATTCACCGACTGGCACTTTATGACTATTGGCGAGAGCGAAGCATGGTTTCTGTACAGCCCCTGCTGGGAAAGTTTGTTCTCTGAGCTCAGATCGGCAGCGCCTGCCACTCTGTTTTCGTTGTTATCCAAAGAAACGAAGTGATAAGAACTTTTAACTAGTTTGCGCACGTCTCTGACCTGATGAATTGGAGTCTGAAGCTTGCACTTGTTATCCCTTATGTCTCTGACCATGAAGTGGGGCGCTTTCTCCGACGACTCTCCCTTTAAAGATGCAGCGAGCGCTTGGCATTTAAAGTCATCAGCTGTCTTTATCAAGCTGGCTGCATTGCAGCCTATATTGGGAGTCAGGAGCTTAGCAATGTTGAACGGGTTGCGTTTGTTGTCTTTCACGCTCCGCAGGCTTATTTTGATTTCTGGTGATTTGGATGTTACCGCGCTTCTAGCAGCATCGGGCACATGGAGAGTGTTGTCTGCGCTGTGCTGGTTGTTTCCTCCTCCTCCCAGATCAGCCGCAGCTCGAGTTGAATACCCCTTGTCGGGCTGTGGTTTTCCAAACTCATTCTCGTTGTAGAGAAGCTGGATGCTCGGTACAAACAAATGCGACATTTTAGTCAGCTTGCTGCTGTCTCCTGCGTGTTGCGCGTTCGTTTTTCCCAGGTTGTCGGCGGACGAAGACGGTTTCCCCACCGGAGTTTTATTGTTTTTCTGTTCCTTTTGGTACTCCAGCTCGCCGTCCCTCCAGGATCTGAATGCGCTATTTTGGCTGCGAAGCAGAGTGCTTTTGGCCGCATCAGATGCTCCTTTTTTAGTATCGAATCCAGCTTCAGCAGAAGCATCAAAATTAGTTTCTGATGCAAGAGGTAAAGTCTCTTCCTTCTGACCATCGTCCTTAAGATCGCAAGATTTAGTATCTGCTATGTCCCCTAATTCTTCTAGAGAAACAATAGTTAAGTCAGAACTGGCCTCCGAGAACCTGGAGTTTTGCCTTTGTAAACCTCTTGAGTCGCTGGCTGTTACCTTTTCTTTTTGGATTTCGACCTCTTTGTAAGGTAGACAGGGAGAGAGTCCTGAATAAGCTTCCGAAATCTCACCCCTTTCCATTTTGCGCTCCTGCTCAAACTGCATTTTCTTAGAAATGACATTTTTGAGAAGGCTTGTGGCGAATATTGCTTTCTTGTGTGTTCCTTCCATGGTTTCCCCTGCGCTGCAGGATTGCTTGCTGGCCTCACTTCCCAGCTCGACTGGGAAGGTGTCTGTAACTCCATCTGTGGAACGTGATCCTGTGACATTTTCTGCACATTTTGCGTGCCATTCGTTTTCATGGGCACCCGCGTTAACGTTGCAACGAAAATTTAAAGTTTCTGTCAAAGTTATAACCCCACTCTGACCTGGTTCAAATTTTCCCTCTAACTCTATTTTCTTAGTGGTAGATGTTGCGTTCTGGGGCTCTGAAGCATCGCCATTCAAAGCAAAGATTTTAGTCTGAGGCGCTTTTAACTGGCTTAAAGCCAACCCTTTAATCCCTTTACCGTCTGCTCCCTTGTTAATTTCAAAAGTAGACGTCGAACTTTTATGAGAGACCACATTTTGCTCCTTTGCTTGTGTCATGTTTCCATATTTAAGATCAACAAACGTTGACCACCTGTTAAACCCAATACCATGCTCTGAGGCCGAGGAATCGCTAGAAGTGCTAAAATTTATCGCATCAAAGTATGGACAAGCTAAACTCCTGAAAGCTCTTGCGGTTAAATTACGTACTTCCTTATCTGCATCATCCAGTTCGCTCACTGCACTGGACGCACCACTGGAGTACTCGTTTATATCTTTCCCTTTAAGCTTACTTCCAAAGTGTAGGCGTCCGGGGGCAGCGATAAAACACTTTGCACTATCACTGATTTTTCCTCTTTTTGCATCAGTGCTTTTAAAAACATAGCGACTCATGTCTAACTCGTGCTTGGCATCGTAACGAGTGTTTTCCTTTTCTTGGACGTTGCTAGGCTCATTTATAGCCCTGGAAGTTGTTTTGATTGACAGGTGAATCTGTCCCGCAGAATTCCCACTGCCGTTTTGGTGCTTTGACAGACTTTCATCTGTGCTGGCGCATTTGTCCGTGTCACATAGATCGTTTTCATGCTTAGTGCTGACTGCTGCTCCGCCACCAGCGCGCCGAACTGTATTATTAGATTGAGCCTGATTGCTTTCCACTTTCGCACAAGTTCTGTCCCCCAGTATCTTCCTCCCTTCTACCGTTTCATCGCTGTCAAAGGAGGCATAATCCACAAATGAGTAGACCAAGTTATCGTCTTCAAAATCCCAACAGGACCCCAGCTCAAAATCATAATCGACATCATGGTCTAATTCAGACAGCTGTATTTCGTGTGTTGTAATGTAGTGGGACTCATCGTCGTTGTTGTCTGGTGCGTGCTCATCTGCTAACTCAATGCTGACAGTCTCCTCTGAGTCACTTCTACTTAAAAATATGTCAGTGTATTCTAATTCGTTGTTTTCTAACGGTGTGCAGTTTGTCTTGAAATCTTTTAGCATAGTTTCGTTTTTGGATACAGTTAGAGAGCCCCGCTTTTCAAGTGCGGTTTCGTGAAAGTCTCCGAAATCTTCATTTTTAGGAACTTCAGAGGATGAAGTTATTGCAAAAGAGCCAGAGATATCGCCCGCTACACCCTCTCCCGTCCTGACGCCCCCTGAAGTTTCCAGTTTATTAGATTTACAGTCCATGGTTGTGAGATTCGACGCGTTGTCATTGCGTTCATGGTCGCCGGCGCTTTTGACCCCAGCATTCGGAGTATCGTTTTTGCATTTAAATATTGCCAGCTGGTTTCCTTCACCGGTAAAAGTAACTTTGACGGTCTTTGTGCCTTCTGATTTCATATCGAGCAAATCATCCAAGTCCACATATTTCGATTCGTCTTGTTTCCCAGCGTTAAAAAGATCCTTACCCGGCAGCAGTTTTCTGTAAGGACCAGTCTCGCCCCGGTAAGTGAGGGTTTTCTGAAGTGCCTCCATTATAGCTTTTCCCACTGTTACAAGATCTTTGTTGTTAGCGGTATTATTTCTGACCCAGCACGGTGAATCAGAAAGAGAGAGAGACACAAGTCCCCAGGAATCCCTACTTCACTCCCCGATGTCTAATGGACCAACCAGAGTCTCCTAGTGGAGCTGCTGCTCTGCGCTCCCGTCCTAGTCTACAGTTGTTTGTATGGCGCTCAAGGCTGTCGCTGCGGATGCCATTGGTAACAGTAGCAGAATCTGCATTCCAGCTCCCTGCCTCATATGAGTGGACGCAAAGCATATAGATTTTTTTTAATTTTGCAAGATAGGAAAGCGCGTCATCTGTCAAGCACGTTTTACTGAATGCTCGTGCATTACCATGAGGATTAAATAGAGGGTATCATTTCCCGCAGGCTAGTTATGAAAATAAACTTTGTTGATTTAAAAAGGAGGAAACGATAACAAGAAAATGCAACCTTTTCTGGCCTACATATAACAAGTTTATTTATTTTTTGTTAGTTTGGCTTCATAAGAATATTTCAATCTTTTAATCTTTTTTAAGGCGAGCAGAGTTCTCTGTAAGGTTAATTACATTGCAGCCGATCTTTTCTAGCACAGATATGATATAAATATAGTAATGATGACGAAATGTCTTACGGGCTATTTTAAACGAACACGTTATATGCAGCTTCTTTCATTGCAGTTTCGAGCGTCCCTCAGAAGCAAAAAGTGTTATATAAAACACACCACACAGGCCTGTAGTTACAAAAAAACTGTATAATAGTACCAGTAGAGTGTAGTATAATCAAGGGGGTTTGTCAGATGTCATGAAAGCTGTCTTGTCGCCTTTATTGTTTCTAGAAAACAAAGTTATCTTCAAAGTGTCCTTCATTAATGGTCCGAGTATAACTGCTTCAATTAATACTTTGTTACAAACAGTATATGTATGAAAATCATATGTCCAGTATAGCTCTATTTCCATGTTGCGGTGCGAAACAAGTCCGATACGTCTTCGATGGAATTTAGGGAGGCTGAATGTCTTCAGTAAGTGCAATTAAGGACACGGGGCACTGTTGTGAATGAGCTGTGAATGTAGGCAGAGCTTTCACTTCCACTTAACGAACACTCACCAGGCCAGAACAACTAGAAACTATACATAGACTATGCGTCATATATGCCACTTGTACAAACTCCTATTTAAAACGATCGCATTTGTTCATAAGCAGGAGTAGGCTTACACAACAGGGCAATTGCAGTGCAGGTTCGTTAAAACAAGGGCATGAAAAGCAAGTACAGGGACTAAATAAGTAAATTGTAAAAGCAACGGGCTCCCGGGTGATCCAAGAGGTCGTGTTTAAGCGCCCGTGAATCTGATTCTGAATAATCATTCAAAATAATTTGTATTATTTTGGAATATTCACTATCACAAGTTAGATTTTAAATTTTTGTTATTATTGACAGTGATTTTTGGTTATGATCTTGTCTGGATCAATTCGAATTGTCGAATGCCATTATTTAGGTATATTTCGATTATATATATTATACGCTATCTAATAAATAACAGGAAACTACGTTGGTTGATTCCGAAACAGGCGGCGTCTGTGTAGTTTGCATGTTCTTCCCGTTAGCCCAAGTTTTCGCTGGTTGCCCTAGTTTCCTCCTACATTCCAAAGACATGCCGTTGTGGTTATTTGGTGTCACTGAGTTGTTGTGTGTCTTTGTGTACAGTACCTTACGGACAAGCATCATGTCTAGGTAAAGTAAAAGGCAGCAGCAGATTACTGATGGCTTGGAAGGTGATTGGAAAAAAATAATAAAAGACCACATGAAATATTTCCTTTACAGAAAAAAAAAATATTTCGAAGCAGATGAATCTCGAGAGAGAAGGAACCCTAGTGGATACACATCTGGAACGTTTTGAAACTTAAATTGAATCCTCAGAGAGAAAATAATATATTATGTAGGGCCTTACTTAAACTGTAGGAAAAAAATAAAACATGCGCTTTTTCAAGGAAAAGTAAGAAAGATCGTATAATTATTTAATATTTTTATTATTTTGAAAAAAATAGAGCTCAAATGACAAAATAGTATTTATCATTCTCTACACCATGAAGAACTATACCTTAGTGTAACCATTCAGGCAGAACAAATACACTCTTAGCCTTAATCAGAAAAGACTGATGTTCGGTATATTTTCCATATTATATTCGACAAGTAAGCAGCATCTGTGGATTATAGGTGTTAAAATTAAAGATCAGCTGGTATTTTACTTTTGGTATCAGAACAGTCTCGTTTGGCATTTTCACATCAAAACATTAAATTACCTGTGCAATATACAGTAACTGCAGGAAATTAAATTAAATTTTAATTTACCTAAAGGTTTTTAGTGATTTATTTTACTTTGGATTGATCTTATAGTGGTGACATGTTGGTGCAGTGGTAAGCATTGCTGTTTCGATGCGCTGAGTTCCTGGGTTGAATCCTTTACCTATCTTATCTTCGTTGAGTTTGTATGTTCTCCCTGTGTTCGAGTGGGTTTCTTCCGGTTTCGTCCCACAGTCAAAAGACATACTGACAGATTAATTAGATTATTGGAAAGTTACATTGGTGTTAGTGTTTGTGTGTGCCCCGCGATGGACTGGCGTCCCGTCCAGGGTATTTCCTGCCCTGCACCAGTTGCTTGCCTTGATAGACTACAACTACCCCGTGACCCTGAATTGGATAAAGTTGTCAGAAAATGGATGGATCAATGGTTGATCTTATAACTGCAAGTTATAAAATAAGAGATTAATATCCATGAATCCCAGAGATCTGATCTTAATACAGAATATTAGGAAAAAGTATTTCAGAAGCCAGGAAAAACAACCAGGTTACACTGTAAATCTTGGCATCTGATAGGGCTTTCGAAGTCTTAAAATTCTGTAACATCCAGAGCCTCCTTTTTCATCAATTATTTCAAGCTAAAATAGATCGTATAAATTAAATGAATGCGGTATAAGGCTATCCATACTTTCCGTTGTTTCAGCAGGACCGTAATAATATTCATAGCACGGCGCAATGTTACTTTACATTTGCCAGACATATTGCAGAAAATTAACACAATCTCTTATTATAAAAATGGTTGTTACAAACAAAAGCTTTTGAGAGGAGAAGGAGAATTTCCGAATGAGCATTTCTTTCAGCACCCGTTAATGGACAGCGCCCAAATTTAGAGAGAAATGAAAGAAAAATATTCTGATTGTATGAATCTCCCTTTAAATTACCACAGTCCAGAACTTTGTGATAATGCCGATATGAACCCATCTGTAAAATAATTTGAACTTTTATAAGTAGTAACTTTTCTCTCCTTGTTTGGCCAAATCAACCGTCCAACTATGGCACATAGGGAATTCATGTCATACACGTTTAAACATTTTTTTTAGCACGAGCAAACGTACATTGGCATTGTTAAAGAATCGTCAATTAATTCGTGAATAAGATTGACTATCGAAATCAGGGTGTAGTTCTTGATCCATGGCTTCACAAATTGGTTAAGAAATAACAATTTGTTTGTTAGCAATATCAAAGACTAAAGACAGGAACAGTTCACAAACATAACACTGACCTTCACCCTAATAACGCTCAAAGCAGGCTCTTCCCCATAGATATAGAAGCACCTGGATAAGTGGTGAAATATAATTTGCTGTTTGGAGAAGGGTTTATTGTACGAACATCTGCCCACTGCCTGCATCAATCAACATAAGAACTGTGAGGCCTACAGTAACCTGGGCTCAAATTTATAAAGTCACAAAAAGTTATGCTATGCATGAGTTCAGCTTGGAAGCAGTCAGCACCAAAACACTGTATTTTCAAACAGTAAGTAATGATGCTACATACAGTACATTTGATAATTAAACTCTATCAACAAATTGTAGAACCGAGTCTGTTTATCCCAATGTCCTAGAAAAGAACAAATTGTGCTGGAAGATGTCAAACTTCAACTAGGCTTAAGAATGAGGATATGAAGGAGGGAAAACATAGAATTTACTCACAGGAAACTGGAGATTTTGGGAGAGGAAGTTTTTGCAGGTTAAAATACGTTAAAGCTAACACATCTTCACCATTTCAAAGGAATATAATCTAAAATAAATTAATTTGGTATTACTAAAAGAACACCGGAGAAGATCAAAAAGGATTCCACGATTTTTGGAGGCAAACAAAAGGAAAACTTTCACATTACACACAAAGAGTGCAAAGTGTACTGGTGTTGGTCCTGAAAGACTTAACACCAATCGAACAACAAGATCGACAATCCTTTTGGACAGAGCTGGTGGCAGAACCCAGCTTCCCCTCTGGAGGTAAAACTAGGTGAATTGTTCTGTGCATTTTCTTTTATGATATTATAATGACTTGCAACATCTATGATAACTTCAGATAACGTAAACATATTACTTAAAGTCAAGAGTAAAAAGTCAATGGGACTTAAGGATCTTTCCTTCATATTGTTACACTGATACTGCCAGCTCTTATCTACTGTAAGTTTCTGACTGGTTCTTATTAAAGCATTTATGTGCAATCGAATTAATATAAATACAGTATTACATTTACTAAAGTAATTCAATTAGGTAGCTGTGTCAGCATGAGTAGGCAGCAAAGGAAAAGGTAAAGGTATGTTCCATGCCGAAAAGAGAAGGAAAGAAACACAACTTTTTCGACTGTGGAGCAGTCAGGTGTTTGCCGACCGACATCAAATCAAATTGAATTAAAAATTGTTGTAAACATAGGGAATATGCCAGTCTTTGATCCTGTTTTGTTTAACCCCTGAAGATGAGTCACTGGTAGACAGTGTAAAAGTTGTGCTCGGGCCTGAGGAAGATCTTCCACACACTAGCATTGATGCAAGTGGAACTGCCACTGTTCCTCTCCACTTCTAACACACGCAAAAATCTTAATCACGTAAATTGGCTACATCACTCTGTTCTCC